CAATCATCTGGATTACGCATAGCTTCTCTGCGATTTACGCTCCGTATATCTTAAGCGAAGCTTGGACCCCCCAATACATTTTGCTGGATCCGCCACTGAATTGAAAGAATCATAACTGAATGTTCTTGCCCAGAAGAGTTACGTCTTCTCAACATATATACGTAACACAATAAAGCCCCGGGAAATAGTAAAGCCAATTGAACAAATAATAAAACTTGTAATACATCACCATGGCAATAGACACCTCATAAAGCCTGCATATTACGTATGTGTACCCACATCTAGGCCACTTAATACAAAACAATTTGCTGACACATATCGCGACATAACTCGGCACATCTCTACTTTGATGACAGTAGGTCTAAAATGGTAAATTGAAAAACATAGTTTAGGTTATAGATAAAGTCAAAATAATGCAAATTATAAGAATTGTTGTAGTAAACTAAAAAACGTTTGTGAGTTCATCCAATTGAATGTCATAATGTTTTATGATGTCTTTGGAATTAATTGTGTCTACGCAACTTGTTGAAAGATTATTAAAAGCAATTAGGTAGATTAATTTGATGACATACACAAATTCACATAGTTTATGTATATACATTTCTTGAAATTAGCATGTGAGAATCAAATTGGCGTGAACACGTCTTTCTGCGATTGTGTTCTTTCATTTTTTTGTTTAGATCCCGCTAGTACTAAGGTAATTTTCTGCGTGAACAATGAACAATATTACCGACCATCAACTGTTCCTCGTTCAATGGTTTTCTGTATCTGTGAATGCCTTTTGGTGATCTTCATCTGAAGTAAATGAAACCACATTCTCCTAAACGCGTAAATCTGGGACGCGCCACAGATTACAGGCAATCACTTTACCTGAAAATATCAACGCTAGCACTAAAAAATGATTGAAACTATTGCGTGCATACTTCCTGTCTATTTGATAACAGCGAGTATTGTGAGATGTCCAACATTAATTCCACCCGTGGATTCCAAGAACATCGAAATACTACTATTAAGTTAAAAAGCTAACTAAATCGTTTGTTGTAGTACCTTCTATGGGTTGAGACACTTTCTATTATTTTCACAAATGCAACGATCTGAATGTGCGTATGTTTACTTGCTTGTCTCATTCGAAATTTAATCACACCTCATTCAATTTTTTTCATGTTTCTTTTGCCGATCACTCCTGTTTACTCTGGTAAGACATGTTGTCAACATTTCCTGTATGTGGTGAATAGCACCACATGGTATAATCGCTCTCACAGAACAGAGGTTTGCTGCTACATGCTGGTGTGAAATTCAGATCCTTCTCGAAGAGTTATGATCTCAATAAAGAAAATGAATGGTCATGCTTCAAAAGCACATAATTGTTTGAACATTTCGTTTTACGAGTCGAAGCAGGACAGAATAGTAACAACCAATTCTGGCAGTTCACGATTTCGCAGTAAAAACCTAATTATAACTCAATTCCCCAAAACATTTATACATTAAAAAATACGTAGAATAATGTGAAATACCGGAGTTTTTCGGTACCTTTTTCTCAACATATGACTTGACAGTACCTTAATCCACAATTCACACCTTTCTTATTTATGAACGGATTTCTCAGAATGTATTCATCTGCCCAGCTAACAATAGATTTTAAGTTGAACCGGATGTCTTTTCGAATTCTAAAAATCCTTTGTCGGCGGAACTTGAACCCAAACAACAAAATTACAAATAAATTACAAAGAAATGCGTTTCCATGGCAATGAAATCAACCATCAGAATTTATCATATCTCATTACGGTGATAATAATTTTAAAATATACGTCGTTTAGGGATTTCTGGGATCCTTGGTATAAAACTATTGTTCATTTCACTGTCACATGTTTCCATACAATAACATCAACAACCAAAATTATGATTTGAGAATGTTTTAAAACCTACGCTCTTTGATGATTAACCTATTACATATATGTTGACCATTTCACTCTTATACGTTTCTATGGCAACGAAATAAACCATTACAATTTTGTTTTGTCTTATAACATAAACACAAAATGTCGTATAAAACACATCTCAATGTTCCCACATACCAAATATCAATCTTTTGGGTGGTTTTGGGAAGTTGAAGTGGAGATTATAGTGTAGTGGAGATTCACCGCGACAGTTCAACATGAAGAGGAGAGTGCAATATTCTGTTTTGTTTAGTTATTTACTAAACAATAATCAAAGGTGCAGCCGGTACATTAATGCATCAATAATGACCTTTCGTCATACGAGGGGTTAACATCAGGCGACTAGTTGTGTGACGTCATAAATTTATAAAGTAATCAACGTCAGCCATGTTTATAATAATCATCGGCTACATTTTCTCTGATTTTCTCGGAGTCAGTATGGGTTATGTCTAGACAGCACTTTATTGTTTTTCGTTTTTCCCAGGTACTACATTAAGTTGAGCAAACTGGTTTCAAAACATACGATCACTAATACCTAAACAGAAACATATAAACAGTCAAACACTGCACAGACTTCTGTATGGTTTCAGTACATGCAGAGATTGTTGTAAAATATTGATTTTATATTGCAGTTAACAAGTAAGTTTATAGCGGAATAGCCAAAACAATTCGTATTTTAGAGTAATAATCATAAGAATATACAATCACCATCTCAAATTAAATTTTACATCATAGACATGTACTATTATATTTCAAAATGAATAACATTTAGGTTAGAAAATTTAATTTCAAACATAAATCTGTATTTATGCATCCTGTTACAGTCAATATATTTATTGCGTAGCCGGTGAAAACGACACCCATGAATGCAAGAAACACAGTTAATTTGTTTTACCAACAACAATACTATGGCAATGACATATGAAGGAATATTGTGCTTATTTTTGTCAGTGCAGACGGTTTGATCGTGAGCAGACGGTTCATAGGTTTCACATAGTCTACGAAATACTCTATGTTTCATATTCTGCCACAAATGCTCAGTCGCCTAATGATACAGTCACGTGTTTTCATTAAAACGATGTCAAACATTTTTATTTTTTGCTCTTTAATCGAAATAACTGAAAATGTTTTGAAACAGTCACTCAGTGTTTTTACGTTTCCATGACAAAATGATCAACGTCAAAATTACGTTCTCACTCATTTCAGTGATAATAACTGTAAAATGTGTTGGAATAATCTCTCCATTGGTGTTTTCAGGGCATCCGATTACACGGATGTTGTCTAGACTAATTGTGAAAAGCAAAGGCATTTTATTACCTAGTTGGTCGTCGCGCATAGCGTGCTCGGATTTCATGTAAACCAACAATGTATTTTACACGCGTTGTATACGTCGCTATGAGTCCCATATCGAACAGGACGCACTACATGCGTATTACATGGTAGAATTTCAAAATCCGATTGTATGCCCAATTCCTTAGAGGGGGTGGAGGTGATAAAGTTAACTTATCCCAGCTTCCCTAACCAGCTCATGATCTATTAAGGTCTGTCATTTTGATTATTGACGCCATTTTGTCAATAGACTTGTTGTATGTCATAATGTGACCAATATTTGTATCATCATGTGAAAGATTTAATTGAGTGTTATTAAACATTCACGTCAGGGGTAGCAAGTTCGGGGAATTCTCCACCTTTCTATCGAACAAGGACACGCAGAGAATCGAATCGTGTCACATTTGGTCTCAGCCGCGTTGTTACTCCCTCTCGGCCGTATCAATACTCGTGTCTCGTCGAGAGCTTGCCACAACTAACTCAGATCAACTTTATTCACATTCCAACTGTTAGCCTATTACAGAGAAGTTTAAGAGCTCGAGGCGTGGCCTCCACACATATAGCCAATCACGCAAAGTACTCAACACGCCATAATGTCAGATTAATTGCCCCCGATGCCGGAC